CCTCCACATTAATACCAGTTTCAGCACAAAATAAACATGACTAAACATCTGAAGGTAAGTTAAAAGAAAGTACAACTTTACAATCCGTATCCTGTCTCATGTAATCTCTCAATCTGTGTTTCAGCCGCGCAAAGACGTCAATATAACGGCTTGTAAACAATGTCACGTAACGTCACATTTACCTCAGAAACAAACATATTCTGTGACCATAAACTTATTATTCAGCTAGAAAAATAAACTGTAGAGAGGGGCATTTTGCTAAATATATGCCCCATATAATATATTCATTGTAACTTTTACTGTTCTTCGATGTTTAATTTATACTTAACTTCATTAAGTGTAATTTAAGCAATTCAAGCCTAAAAAATCAGTCAGTTTCAACCTTCAATATTATAGTAATGTAGTACCAACTGACTCTCATGTATATTTTACAGCATAAGTTAAAATAATTTTTTTCCTTGAGAAAATTTGGCATGTGTACCTGATATATATATACAAAATAATCGATATTGAATCTAATCGAATCGCAAGCTTGTGAATGAGAATCGAATCGTGAAATTTGTGTCAAAACCCAGCCCTATTAGTTAACCCCCCCAGCCAATTTTTACTCATATTGAGTAACAAACCAGTAAATATTACATAAAACAAATCATTCTGCATTATCTTTCATAACATCAACAACAACTCGAAGCTATGCACACATTCATGCCTTTTTTTAGGGAACATCTTTTTTTGAGATATTTGTGTTAAAATGCTGAAAAACACTAAAAACACAAATTTATATGCATCTGTATTAAATATCTAAAATGCACCAGTCAAATCTGTCACACTCATTCTCTCAGTGCTGTGAACATCTATAAAAAAAGACCAACGATCATTCAAATCCACCCAAACCTCACAAAAACGTGGCTGTTACCTCTGGTCTTCTTCAGATCCAGAGAGATCTCTTTAATGGCGAAGTCAGCGTGGAACGGGGCGATCTGCTCGCGCATGATCAGGAGATGTTTGATGAGGAAGAGCTGCCCATCTATTTGATTCTGTGAAGAAAGTACAGCAGGTTCAACACGTCTCTCTGGAATTAAACCTCTTTTAAAACCTTACTGACCAATCCTGCCTCAGCCAGCGTTTCGGTTTCTGACAAAGCTTCTCATATAGGAATCCTGTGGTTTTTACCAAACGTTACACATAATATACCAAAAAATATGCACAATATAAGATTTAAAAATCTCAACTGCTTGATTGTTTATAGTGTTGCATAATCTATATTATCACCCAGCAATATATTTAAAGTTGAATAATAGTACATCAAACTTTATTTGCATTTATACACAGTACTTACATAAAACAATATGTGACCCTGGACCACAAAACCAGTCATAAGTGTCAATTTTTCGAAATTGAGATTTATACATCATCTGAAAGCTGAATAAGTAAGCTTTCCATTGATGTATGGTTTGTTAGGATAGGACAATATTTGGCTGAGATACAACTATTTGAAAATCTGTAATCTGAGGGTGCTAAAAAAATCTAAATATTGAGAAAATCATCTTTGAAGTTGTCCAAATGAAGTTCTTAGCAATGCATATTACTAATCAAAAATTAAGTTTTGATATATTTACGGTAGGAAATTTACTAAATATCTTCATGGAACATGATCTTTACTTAATATCCTAATGATTTTTGGCATAAAAGAAAAATCAATAATTTCGACCCATACAATGTATTTTTGGCTATTGCTACAAATATACCCCAGCGACTTAAGACTGCTTTTGTGCTCCAGGGTCACATATATATGCTATATAACAAATATCGGCTGTGTGATTGCTTAAATCACTGCAAAATGTAACTATATTATCGTCCAGCTCAATATATAGTTGGATATATATTATATTTAAGTTTAAACAGATATAGTGCACTCATGTAAAGCTGCATAAAGTATATGGTAAATCTCAACTGTTTGATGGTTTATATCATTGCAAAATGTAACTATTATCATCTAGCCCTAATCTGCTAAATGTGACTATAAGGCATGAAGATATTGAAGATATGAAGATATTATAAACAATAACTTCATGATTTTATGTAAAGCTGCTTTGAAACGATGTGTATAATTGTACAAAAGGCAATTTAAAAAAAAACCTGACTTGAAATTTAATATGGTAAAATGTTGTTTCTGGGTCACAATTACAATAGTGGAATTAATTTCTCAGGATGGATGGATGGATAGAATTAAATAAACAATAATGAAGTTATTTTATAATGACAGTACATTGAAGATTTGAAAATAAATATAAATAAACTATATTCAATCACTGCATTTTTTTCCAGAAAGATGCAGTGGTAACCTTAACATTTTATTTTAAAATGTAACATTTGTAAATGATCTAAAGCAAAAGAGTTGTACAAATTCTGAAAATCTTTTAGAGCTCATAATTTGTTTAAAAAATATAACATATTACACATTAATGAATAAATCAGTATATATATATATATATATTATTTATATTTAGTCATTTAGCAGATGCTTTTATCCAAAGCGACTTACAAATGAGGACAACAGAAGAAATAGCAAGTGCTATAACAAGTCTCAGTTAGCTTAACGCAGTACACATAGCAAGGTTTTCTTTTTAAATTATATAATAAATAAAAAGAAAACCGATAGAGTAGAAAAAGAATAGAGCAAGCTAGTGTTAGTATATATAAAATTATTTAATTTAAGTGTCATGTATGTGATTTTTTGTTGTTGTTGTTCATGTAAACTATAGCTTCTGACCTTTAAATCAAAACATACTCATGATTTTATGGCATCAATTACTGTTTATTTAATCAGAAACAGTCTAAATATTATTTGTGTATTTTGCATTCATTTTATTAGAAGTAGGCCAAACAGCGCCCCCTACGGAAGTAAAACTCCTTAGCGAACGGGCGTTAGGACCCAGGGGAGGCTGCCGCTGCACGTGCTATTACTGTTTACTCTAACATACACTGAACGTCATTCTATCCATGCATTCTCAGATTAAATGCAGAGATCCAAAACCGTGAATATCACCATTCAGGCAAAAACTTTGCTTCAAGAATGAGCCACACTGCTGACGTGATCTAATCGCTAGCACACCCTGAGCACATGTGAGTTAATGTATTCCTCTTATCGGCAAGACATATCGGCATAATTTTTCATATCGGGCTGATGCCGATATTTACATTTAAAGCCATTTTGGCCGATTCCGATATCAGTCCGATAATATCGTGCATCCCTTATAGATAGATAGATAGATAGACATAAAAATTACTAAAAATAAATAAATAAATATAAATGAACTAAAAAGAAAAAAAGAAAATGATTAATACATATTAAAAAGTTGTTTCTGGGTCATTTACAATAGTGGAATGAATTTCTTAGGACATATAAATAAATAGAAATACAATACAATAAAAATATTACAAAAATATAATATAAAATTCATGCATGAATTAATAAAAAATAAAATTATCAATAAAAATTAAAAAGTTGTTTCTGGATCATTAACAATAGATTAATAAATAATACATTTCTCAGGACGCATAAATAAATAAAATTTAAATGACAAAAAATATATATTTAAAAAAAATATATAAAATTCATACATTAATAAAAAATACAAAATAAAATTATTAATAAAAAAATGTTTCTGGGTCATTTACGATAGTGGAGTGAATTTCTCATTTCTGACTGATTGTCCTGTGTACAGATAAGATATAAACGCCTCACCTTGTTCTTCTGAATGATATCAGAGGCTTTGAGGAGAGACTGGATGCAGGCAGACAGAGCTTCCTGCGACAGACCCTGAAACACCGCCCTCTACAGGACACACCAGACAAAACAATCACTCACTCGCTCGCTCGCATGGCATCTCAAACCACATATTCTAATACAGTAAGAGGACGTGTGCCTATATCGTCCTAATGCACGGCGAGGAGGATCACAGCTGGAGAACTGCAGAAAATAGTTGAGTCTTGGGGTCAGAAAGCCTGTTGTTTGGGAGGGTTTCAAGAAAAAACTAGAAAACTCCAACATATTTATTTGCTAGACACGACTGGAGCTTTAAACGGGACTGGGTTCAATGGTCAGATGAAACAAAAAAAAATTAGCTTTTTAGCAGCAAACACTCAAGATGGGTTTGGTGCACACAGGGATAAAAAAGTTTTGTACCCCATGTGTACAATGAAATATATTGCTGGGTAGTGCTGGGCGGTATGACCAAAAATTTATATCATGGTATTTTTCAAAATTATACCGGTTTCACGGTACATGACAGTATTTTTTTTCCCATGCATGACCGTGTGTTAACCATATTTTCTACTGACTGAGAGAGGAAATACTGCAGTATATTGACTTAGAATGCCCTATTTTACTGTCATGATGAGTG